TTACGCTGAGAATTCTATATTGTACCAAAAATATAATATTGAATGAAGCTGATAATAATAATAATAATAATAATAATAATAATAATAATAATAAATAATCGTTTCGTCCTAGTATGGGACTACACAGTGGTAAGCATCCATGATCCCGTACACGGGATTCGAACGCAGGAACTTCGATCTCACAGACGAGCGCTTAACCTTTAGACCATTGAGCCGGCTGGCATAAAACGGTGTTAATGTCTAACTTTAACCAATCAATAATATTGAGCGACCATCCACTATAGTTTTCATTAAGTAATTGCCTCACAACAGACACGGTTGAACTCCAGTGGTTATGGCTTCTTACTAGAGTTCCAGGAAATATCGCTCGAAGCCAATCACTAGTGAGCACATTATTATTACTGTTATTATTACCACTATCATTATCATTATTATTACTATTATCAGAAAAGGGTTTTGTGGAGATTGTATTAATTTAATAGTTGAAATCATGAGAAACAATGATAAAATAACACACTCAATGAATATCTTGAATTAATATTTACTACTTGGCTTGTTTTATTTACTACTTATTAATAATAAAATACACTATTGTGTTTTATTGAATTATATCATTTTCTGCAAAGAAAAAATAAAGCTATTTACATCTTAGAATTTTTAATAGTTGAGTCTTGTGTTCGGGATCATGGATACGCACTTCCGAGGAGTTCTGTACTAAGATGAAATGGTTATCCAATGCTTCTAGATTTTCGATGATGGTCTAGTTTTAATTGACTCACGATTTAAACTATTAAATTACTACAATGTCTGCAAAACCCCTTATTGATAAGAATAGTTATTATTAGATTAATTAATGAGTAATTTTAATGTTGATAGTATACTTTCATATACGATTGTAGTAGACTTGAGTTTTTTTGAGGATAGAAATATAAAGGTGGAATATAATTTTCACTGATTGAAATCATGAGTCAATTGAAGCTAGACTACCATGGAAAGCCTGGAAACACTGGACGGCCGTTTCGTCCTAGTATGGGACTCCTCAGCAGTGCGTATCCACGATCACGAAACGAAACGACAGTTCAGTGCTTCCAGGTCTTCCTTAATGTTCTAGCTTCAATTGACTCATGATTTCAAATATTGAAATTCCTAAAATCTCCACAAAACCTCTTCTGGGAGTACTTTCTTTTAGAAAATGAAAAATTGAAGTCAGAATTATGTTTGTAGGTAAGTGAAGAGTATATAGATGTATTGAATGTTCGAGATAATGTCTGTTGTCCGGACATCATCATTAATAGCCTACTATGTAAAGGGACAGACTAGCTTTTAGTTGAAGAAGAAATGCTGTAATTGCGTAAAACATACATTTCAGAAATCATCAAACTACATCATGAGACAAAACCTAACTTAAAATCCTGAAAGGAAACAACAACAAAAAGAGAAAGGTCAAACAATACATTATGTCAAGAATTCAAAAAGATACATGAAAATGATGAATATCAACTGGGAATGATGTGTGGGTGAGAATGATAATGATTGATTATCTGCTTAGTCAGAAATGTAAATAGTCTGACAGGTGTCAGATGAGTTATATATTCCCCTATCCTTATACTCAATTATTGTTGATTGTTGTTAGATTGTGTCGGGTTTTTGGTGTGGAAATATATTTACATTATGATCAGTCTAATCACATGTTCTTGATCTGAGTTGTGTTGATGTCCTATAAAATAGACACTGGAAGGGAATCTCCTGTTGATATTCGTCTAAGGTACATTAACATCCTATACGTATAAACGTGGAGACCCAACCATTATAACATTAGATAAAATAAAACCGTGAATTATCACAGATAAACAACTAGAAATGATTATTCACAACAGAGATCAATAAAGAATATTGATAGATAACCTATTCTCTTCCATCATATTAAGGTAACAGTACTGTGTAATTCAGTATAAATAACTAATCAAATCTCTTATAATAAATATAATACAAATTTCTACTATCCATAATTGATAATATAATTTTAAGTATTTTACAATGAATAGAAAATACCATCCACCATCATTATTCATATAAATTGAATAATTCACACAGATTTATAAAGTTTGGTTAATACGTGTTAATGTGTCATTATTATTATTATTATTACTATTACTATTGCTACCATTACTATATTACTATTATTATCAGTACTATTACTATTAGTAATGTTACCATTACTATATTACTATTATTATTATTACTATTACCATTATTATTACTATTACCATTATTATTACTATTAGTATTGCTACCACTACTATATTACTATTATTAGTAGTAGTAGTATTATCCATGTATTTTGTTCTAAAATATATAAAATAATAATAACATAATTGAAAATTGACAGAAGTGTACTTTTTTAATTTAATAATTTGTACTAATTAAGTCAGAGATTACTTTCCAGGAGTAATAATAATAATAATAATAATATTCAGCATAGTGATTGTATTAGTGAATGCACAGTCAATATACATCCATATACATACATATGTACATGCATGCCAACATACATACATACATACACACATATGCATACATATGATCTATACAGTCATTTTCACACACACATTTATATATATATAAAGGTTAAATCAATGTTAACAAGTACTTTGAAGTCATTAAGAGTGAACAATTTCTATTTATATATATATATCAATGTAACACAATCAATCGTCATGTCAATAATGATGGTATAATCTTGAAGTGGAATGAGTACCATACATTCAATGTGTTTAAACTGTTAATTCGGTAAATATATAAATGAATGAATGAATGAATTTATAAAATTGATTGTTTTACAATTTCTATAATAAAGTGTTCCAGTTATATTTCTGAGAAAAAGAAAACAATTTGTCAATACTCATAGTCATTACTATAAGTAATAATAATAATAATAATCATCTTAAGTGATAGTAAATAGGATAACAAATAATCTCCTGTAGAACTGAAATATCTGTGCTGATTGGTCAGTTGAACTAGATGTATAGATGGATAGATAGTTAAGGACGGCCAAACCAAAACGTATCATCACTCCTAGAAGTTAATGACTTCTAGTCTGAGCCAAGTTGGTAGATACAGACTACTTGGTTGGGGTCAGCGTGACTATCGTAACCAATGGTTAGAGACTCTTGGTGACATAGATTAGAATCGATCACAATGGTGTAGGTGTATACAATCTTTATCTCCCTTTAAACTATGAGATTAAAATCGCTTCATATCTTTCTTTCTACGAACTAATTCTTTCTTTCTGTACTATGTCCTTATATGGAATCTTTCTTTTATATATTAAGACCACTGAATTAACTTTTTCTATGAATTCGGTGTTCATTTTGTTGTGCTAATGAGTAAGGTGTGGCAAATTGGACCAATGTATATATGTGTCTGATCCTACGTTGTAGCTGACTGGCTGAGATAAATAGATAGATAGATTACACTCAGACAAATCAGTTTTTATTTAATTGTGTAATTTTCCTCAGTATTTCCATCATGTACGTTATATTCAATATGTATGGATGTACACAAGGATGCATTTCATTCATTTAATAAAAAAATGAGCTTATCATTACTGAATCCTTTAGATAAAATCATGAAAGAACTCTACAATTTTTTTTAAAATTTCAACTTGATAGATATCATTCGAGTTTATGTGACAATATCATTATTATAACTAATGACAACCAATAATTATAGCGCTCGCGCGCGAGACTGATAGGTTCTGGGTTCGAATCTCGTGGGGCGGAATCGTGTATGCGTACTGCTACTGAGGAGTCTCAAAATAGGATGAGACGGCCGTCCAATGATTTCAGGTTTTCCATGATGGTCTAGTTTCATTGGACTCATGATCTCAAGCATTAAAATAATAAGTAAGCAAATTAATATATTGATAAAATGTTTCAACAGAGACAGTAACTCGTTCTCTGTAATTGATGCTTCTACACACTCATACATCGAACCAAAACACAAACACATATTTATGTACATATTTATGTACTGAACACACACACACACAATACACATGCATACGGAAGTATGACAACATTGTTTTTCAAACAAACTAGGAGTAAACACTCTACTAAGAACGAGCTCACACCAAAACACACTACATACATACACACTTGCTGATACATGTATACATGCACGAATCTGTTCGAAGTCAATGAAACTATGACTTTTCAACTTATGACATATGGTTCATAAAAATACTGATCTCCATCTAATTTGATTAGAGCACTTGAATAATATCATCATTAATTATAACAGATAAACCATGAAATCGTTTTAAATCTTGGTGAGACTATAATTTATAAACGAATTTTGAGCGACGCTAAAGTGGCCTTGAGAATGTTTACCTACTGACATGAGTTAAATGAGGGGTTTAAACCTATATGAAGGATAGGGACTGTGATTTACATTTGGTGTTTATGGTTAGAAATTGTATTTAAAGTTTTCATCACAAACTAACATTAGCTAAAATGTCAAGAAGGTATTTAGCCAAATGGATAAAGAATTTCGCGCCGAAATCGAAGACCTGTTATTGTAAATCTGATTGGTTCGTCCATAAATTATAATCTCACCTAAATCTTTACATATAATAAAGAGTTCAATAGTGATAGAAGAAAACTGAATATCTAACACTTTCTAATTTTCATTAGTTATCTCGATAATGTCATTTTTCTGATATTCTAGTAGTGTAGGGTTCATCATAAGACTTGATATTAATCTCTGATAATGTCATAGATAATCATTACTGAAGGTTCCCAATTTGAAAGTAAAACAACTATTCAATCTTTAGGGAATATCACCTTCAAGATCCAGTAGGTAGGAATCGAACTCAGGATATTCAATCTTTCACGTGGATGTTTAGACCATTGAACTGGAACTTAATAGTATAGAAATAATGAATAAATTGATAAAATAAACATCATATGTCTGAAAAATTAAAATAAACAACAACTTACCATCTTTATTCATACCAACTTCAAGACATTTAGTTAATCGACATGCTCTACATTGATTACGATGAGATTTATCCACTCGACAAACTACGATACCAGATTTACTGCCAACTGTTGTACCACGACTTTTACATGTATACTGACGATTACGTCGTATAGATCTCTATAAAAATGAGTAATGATCAATTTAATAAACGAAAGATTAGAATATATATAGGGTGTTTCAATATAGTTAACAGGGAACTTCAAATATCAGTAAAGCTCACTCATCCTAGTGAAGTAACTGAAGCGTTCTATGATATTCGATCCTGCATCACCTGATATCACAGTCTAAGACATTGTCACTACGTTATTATAATTCAGATATTTCCGTTGATTAAACACTGATTAGTGTAGATATACACATAGACAGTTTTCATGACAGATTAACATTATTTAAAGTACCGTTAAAATCTTCTGTGTACTGGACAACTATTAGTTCAAATATAAAGAATTCAACAATGATATTAAGGCATGACTTCATAAGAGATAATACTCGAAATGTTCAGGCGTTACAGTGAATATATCAGTAATAACAATAATCCTTCTACTACTGGTAACTACTAGTACTACTTATAAGTAATAGTAATATTGTACTATTTGGTATAAAAAAACATGATTGTAACAATAAATATGACGATCTCTCCCAAATAAATTGATACATTTTGAAGCAATTCACTCAATAAAAGACATTATATAGTTCAAGTTCTCACCCATCCACCCCCTTTCTAAGAGTTTATTCAGATTAAATTAATGAATCTACTTGCATGATAGTATCCATGTCGATGTGTTACAAATACACATGGATACACATGCATTCACCTCTCTCTCTCTCTCTGCGTGTATGTATATATATATACATATAATGAGAGGATACAGAGTTTAAGTACTACTCAATTATATAGCCCACCTGCTGTGCTATTCCATGCTTATTTGCCTAGAGAGAAAGAGTGAGTGAGTTAGTTAATTAAAACGTCAAGCTTTTCAAAAGCCAAATTGAACAAATGAAACAATGAATTGAAATAGTTAATAATAATAATAATGATAATTATGATTATGAAAAATCATATGATATCAGCTTTTTAGTTTAATGATTTCGTTGTAAATTTTGTTGTCATCATTAATCTTTACTTGCATAGTTAATAAACATTATTATCATTACTAATATTCAATGATATCAGTAGTAAAACCATTAATCTTGGTTTGTTTGTTTAAATAGATTAAAACAACTGTAAAACAACAATATAGATCCTTTTTTTAATCATTAGATCACTGTCATCATCATTGGTGTTACATTAAATAATATCTCTAAACTTAGTAGGTAATAGAAATAGTAGCAGTAGTAGTAGTAGTATTAGTAGTAGTAGCAGTAGTAGTAGTAGTAGTAGTATCAGTAGTATTAGCAGTAGTAGTAGTAGCATTAGTATTATTATTATTATTGTTAGTAGTAGTAGTAGTAGTAGTAGTAGCATTAGTAGTAGCATCAGTAGTACTAACAGTAGTAGTAGCAGCATTAGTACTATTAGTAGTAGTAGTAGCATTAGTAGCAGTAGTATCAGTAGTACCAACAGTAGTAGTAGCAGTATTAGTAGTATTAGTAGTAGTAGTAGTAGCATTAGTAGTAGTAGTAGTAGTAGTAGTAGTAGTGTTAGTAGTGGTATTATAAGTAGTATAATAAATAGTATTAAGAATAAAATGATTAGGAGTTACGATATATAAATCTCTACACATATAAATGACTGACAGTTGAAATGATTACTTGACCCTTTTCATCTTTTATTGACAGAAGTGAGTGCAGAAATATTCTTTAAACATTTTTTTTGCTTCACATCATATGATATGAATATAATACTCAAGGTATTTATCACTAGAAAGAGGCCTGTTTTTTGTTGGTAAATGTCCTAAATTGATAGTGTAGAGAAGAAGGAGTGGGAGGAGAGTTTATAGAAGTACAAATAAAATAATGAATTACATTTCAATTAGTTACACAATGTGAATATACATTGTACAGATTAGTTTTATTGCTAAAATGACCCATTACCTATTCAATTGTTTCTCGTTTTCAATCATTGTTTAGCTAAAATCACTCCATGATAGTTTTTCTACGATTTTTTTTTCAGTAGTGAATGAATTTATCAGTAATATGAATGATGGTGAATAGAAAAGAAAAATCATAACTATGAAGGTTAAGCAGGTTTAGTGGTAACCAGGAGAAAATGTACCATTTGCATGTACACTGATTATCATGGTTATCATTTATGGACTAGATATATATATAAAGTGTACTGATAGAAATTGAATTACATAAGAAGATAGAATTTGAACTACAGATGAAAAAGATTAAAATACAATAGATTTGAAGATTTGTGCAGGTTGTTAATGGCTATGAAGACTATCAATTGACTTATATTAGATAAACACTAAAAACTAAGAAGTCCTGATCATTTATTTCGTTCTAGTACAGGATTCCTCAGAAGTGCGCATCCATAAACCTATTGCGGATACTTTACTTTCAAATCACTGAGTCAGCATCAAATGGTTTGTATTTCTAACTTCAATCAGCGTAACCATCGTCTATTGTCTTCAATGGATAGCTACCACACATATAACATTATTAAAATCCATTAATCACAGTATATCATTACAACACTGGAAATACCCCCCCTCAAAACTAATCACTAATGAGCACATGGTAATTGTCAGTATGAATATTATTCAGATTGTTAGATGTTATTAAGGTCATAAAACAAATCGACCAAAGTTAGACAACCATTGAAATAGTTGTCCAATGTTCCCAGCTACCTGAAAGTAATATCAACATGTTATTAAGAGTAAAGCATCAAAAAAATCGCAAATATTATTAGTTCAATGTTCAAACCAAAATCAAACATAACATGTAACGTTACTTTTTTTATTTAAACAAATCATCATCATCATCATTATGATTAACTTACTTTAAAAAATCCTGCACAACTATATCAATCAAGTAGAATTAATCAATTTCATAAGTGTCAATGTATTGTGGTCGTTAATATTTATTATTAGTAGTAGTATTTTTTTATACAATTATACATGTAAACGACAATAGTCCACATTTTCATAAAGATGCAATTACATGAAGTAAATTCAAGCAAAACAGAAAGAAAAGAATACAGACAACATTAGTGCATTGAAAACGTTTAATATAAGAAGTCAATGACAACAAAGAAATATAATAATAACTACAAACTACCCCTTCTGATGTTAATCAACATATGCTCATTAGTGACTGGCTTTAAAATGTATTTAGTGAGAAACAGTAGAGTTTAACTGGGTCAGTTGGGAGATAGTAACTCACTGATGACAATGATGAATGTGTCGCTCAATTTCGTGGATTGGTTGAAATTTGACATTAACATGGTTGGATGCTGACCGGCTCAGTGGTTTAGTGATTAAGCGTTCGCGCACGAGACTGATAGGCCCTGGGTTCGAATCTCACGGGGTGGAATCGTGGATATGTATTGCCACTGAGGAGTTCCACAATAGGATGAAAGCCCTAAATCTAATTCCCAACCTTAACCATCAAACTGTAAACCATAATTCTAATTCCTCACATTGGTTTATAACCCTCATTTGATCCTAGTTATTAAGGGGGATACTCTCAAGGTCAGTATGGCGTCGCTCAAAGGTCGTCCATAAATTATAGTCTTACAAATGGCAATTTTCATTTCTATGGAATAAAATCAAAGTTACCTTATTCAAGCTACTTGTAAGTAAACAGATAAACACTTCCCATATTTTATAGACTTATATCAATCACTAAATAACAAGTAAATATTAAGAAACTTTTATTCTATTGATAATAGTTTGGATTTTCCATTTATTTATATTAATGTGTGGAATTGATCAGTCTCTAATGATGTGTATACATCATGAGTAGATTGCTTGTATATTGCCATTTACTTATAAGCTTTTATTAAAGTAGGATAGTAGATAGTAGTGGAATCTAAAGTATGTGTTTCGTCCGGTTCGGTACTCATCAAGTGGACAGGGATGAAATCTCAGTATTTTACTCTTCAAATACCAATGTATTTTATGCTACGCTACTAATTTAACATAACTGTTAAATTGTTCAATGTATATGATGTTTAGATTTCCATTATTATATAGTTTGAATTAGATCTTATCAATAACTGTTTCCAAACAATTTACTCATGAAGATTTCTTATTATGTTAACAATTCGAGACTCGGAATTTCATATCATTATGTGATCTTATCATTTTTACACTACTATCAAACAATAAATATATGAGAATCCAATCGTATTTTTGATGCTTACAAAACAACAATCCAAAGTCATTCATTGCTTTAAAGACATTAAATGACTGAAGCTTGAAAAATTTCATCATTCACCTATGTAACTACAATCATTATGAAAATGAATAAATCTGTTCTAGTCTTTTTTTTCAACCAAAGGACGGGTTAACTGTGCAGCAGTTTGTTCCGTCCTACTTTATGGCAGTGAAACATGACCCGTAAGAGTAGAGGATATTTGTAGGTTACTAGTATTCGATCATAGGTGTCTTCGAAACATTGCTCGTATATCATGGGACCATCGACTAAGTAATGGAGTTGTTAGGAAACGGGTACTAGGTAAGGATGACAAATCCATTGATGAAGTAGTGAAACTTCATCAGTTGAGATGGCTGGGACATGTGTTACACTTATGCCCAACCAACGACTGCCTCAACGCGCGATGCTCAATGGTATAGGAATAGGTTAAAAGAAAGCTAGGGGCGGCCAAACCAACACATGACACAAGTCCATGAAGTCACTGACAAGTGGACTGAGTGAGCCATGTTGGTAGGTGTAGACTACCTGATTGGGATCCGCGAGATGATAGCAAATGATGGTTAGAGACCATGAATGACATGGCTCAAAATCGTCTGCACTGGCGCAGGTGTATCCACTCTTTGTGTTCTCCCAAATTCTAATCTCGTGAATCTTCCTTGTCTCTTCTTTTCTCTTTCCAAATTTATTTCACTGGATTATACTCTTTAAATAACATCTTCCACCCTAATCTTTCTGATTACTGCTTATACCCTTACCGCCTCTACCACTAAGAGATCTGAATCGACAACAGCATCTCTGTGCTAATGTGATGTGGCAACTCGAACTGATGTACGTACGTACGAAGTTCTACGTTGTTACTAACTGACTGTCTGACTGACTTATCTATACCCACAAAAAATTGTCATCTTCTCAATTCATCAGAAAAATCTTCAATATATCCCAAAATCATAGAGAGGTTTTGTGGATATTATAGTATTTTAACTGTTGAATTCATGAGTCAATTGAAGCTAGACCACCATAGAAAACCTGAACGCACTGAACAGCCGTTTTGTTCCGATATGTGACTCCTCAATGGTCTAATGGTTAAGACTAACAGGTCCTAGGTTCGAGTCTCGCCAGGCGGAATCGTGGATGCGAAACTGCCAGTGAGAAGTCCCATACTAGGATGAAACAACGGTCCGGTGCATCCAAGTTTTTCATGGTAGTCTAGCTTCAATGGACTCATCATTTCAACTATTATAATTACTATACATACATATAATTGAATATTGGAATATTTTCTTCTTTAAAAGAGAGACAATTCTTTGCATACACGTCTATGTATATATATATATGTATCATGTGAATACAACACGTACAAACATGAAATTCTTTTCGAATAAATTTGGACACAGTTAATCACTTTTTACAACATCTATAAATTGGCAACAACTGACACCATCTATTGTAACAACAATACAAAAAAAAAACAATGTTTTATTCATTAAAACAATACAATATACATTTGTATATTGATTATTGAACAACTTTAATAAACTCATTCCCATATCATTAATATAATAATAATAATAATAATTTTACTAACCCATCACAAGCATAGATACCATAATGTTTTCCTGATGAATGATCTTCACACACGTGACATGGAATATCCAATAATATCCGATCTATCATGTATATAAGACAAGAGAAATTAAATCATTGAATATCCATATCCATATCCATATATATATATATAATTGAACATATGCCAATGAATTGTTTTAAAGATTGGATAGATGGATAGATTGATGAATGAATGAATGAATGAATGAATGAATGAAGTGAATTTGGTGTAGGAAGTCATTCAATTCATTCATATTCATGATATTCAGGTTAACAATAATAATCATCATTATAATCAACAATACGCATACATGTATCAACATACATACATATATATATACAATAGAGTAGATAACACGTTGCATGAAAAAGAATAGAAGGAATAATAATAAACTAATCATAACTATTGACATTAACCATACACATCTAAATATTCTTTAAGTAATATATATCTTTATATGGTATATAAATAACTCATAAATCATAACACAAGTCATATTGTTTACTATTAAAACATGATCATTTATTTAAAACAATGTAAATGATATACCTATCATATAGTGATAAGTATTAAATAAAGATGTGTCTACTACTACTACTTAATACTGATGATAGTAGTCGTAGTAGTAGCCATAGTGGTTATTGTTGTATGATTGATAAAAAACAACATGATTTCTTATTCAAGAAAAGTAGTAGACGAAAAAGAAGAAGAAAAAGAGAGAAAAAAGAAAAAAGAAAAAAAGAAAGTAGATGAAATGAATATTGAAATAGTTTAATGAAAATTATTGTTTTT